GTATATATATAAATATACATATATTGCAGGCCAGTATGTCTTAGCAAGGCCTTACATAAAGGTCGGAAGTGTGTTAGGTAGACAAGAAGCGACAAAATAAAAAGGGCAGCAAGAAATGTTGATATATCTTTAGTGGCCTGCGTGTTTAATCAAAGGGCAAAGTGAGATGAAAGCATTACACCAGCCGAAGACATGTGCTAATAAATACACATGTACAAGAATGCATGTGTTTAAGGATACAGGTGAAAAAGCCAGTCACGAATGCCGGCTAATAAATTGGTAGATGGCATTTAGATGTGCAGATAGATCTCTTTTGTGCTTGCCTTTTGTTCGGATGTACATGGTAGCCATGTCAACTGTTTTACTCTTAAGCCTTAAATGTATACCCTTTAAAAGCTACATGAGCCCGATGGAATTGCCAACGAATTCACGTGGTAGTTACGCTTTAGGGTTACCAAAACAATATCGACAATCACACCTGACCCTTTTTTGCAGGAACCTATACATATGCCATAGTGGAATCAGTCAAAATTCCCCAAGAGACTAGCTAGCAAGAGCGCCGAAATATGTGCAAACAAAAATGATACATTTGGAATATTCTATCGACATTGAAGGGGCTGTTTGGACTACATAAAAGGTAGTTGAGTATAACTGAGATACCGGTAGTCTCGAAACTCTACGTATAAGCAAAAAAATATCATTCGAACTTTTTTTTATGAGGTTAAGTCTGCTTCTAGTCATCAGAAGAACACATGCTGTGAAGAAGCTCTGAAAAGTATTCAAATGGTGAGATCAGAGCCTGATCTGATAAAATATTCCATAATTAGTTTAAGTTTAATTTTCTTGAATTTAGTTGTGGTTATGTTAGCCCTAGTTACAAGCTATGTGGCAATAACGGTAAGCATTCTAATATTTAACGACATCTTAAGTTAAAGGCAGATGGAAAACGATGGAACGGGCGTTAAAAATAGAACACAATAATTTTTCTTTTATAAGTAGCTTGAGGAGACTACGAGTAGATCATATATACGAGATGTATATAACCTATTTTGTTAAAGAGATTAAGGGAAAATTCAAGTTTCAGTGCTTCATCACCTTAATTAAATAAAGTCAATACATAGCATAAAACGAAATATTCTAAATTGAAAAATTCATTTTCTTCTAATGAAATTCAAGCCATTCTTTGCATAAAGTTACAAATAGTAGTTGGGAAAATACCTGAATCCGCCCATGCAAACCAACGCAGAATCCATCTTTGTATCCTCAGTCGGTTTTCGGCCAATCCTTCATGGTTTTGACCAGAATGTTCTATAAAGGATACCTTTCTAAACATTTTTTTCTGAATTCCCAAGTAATCGCAATCACGACAAACTTATCAGACATGCTACACAGTCCATTGACAGTTAAATCTTATTTTTCGTTTATAAGTATAGTTTCCAGTTACTAACACTTGCATCTATTTGCCACTGTTAGAAAAAATGGCAAGAATTCATAGGCCTCTGATGGATGTGGGAATTAAGGAGAATGCTTTACTATCCGACTACATTGTAACTAATTGGTGGCCCCATGCCTAAGCCGCACAAAATGAATTAGAGGGAAGTGTTTCTTTCAGCAAAGCGAACGATGATAATATATTCCGTCAAAATAGATCAATTTAAAGGCTACTCAGTTAATCATATTCAGTAGTATGTTATTTAAATGCGAATATAAACAAAGCGTTTTTCAACTCACATATGCTCTCGAAATAATTTACTACCTGTATACTTGAATAGCGATGTATTGTCAGGTGAATTGGATAGTGGGGTTCCACATCACGTTTTAGATGCCTGTGAGACATGCATTTCAAGACTTTTTGAGTTTGCTAGGCGAACGACTCAACTATCAGGCCTTAATTCACTGAAGCGGCCTACGGTAAGCATCCTTTATTTATAGGTTATCAGAGAATTTTTTATAAATATAATGATCCTTAGGAGATTCTTTCAAACCCATATCCAAACGCAACAGGGTTTTATATGTCCCGTTAAGTTGACCTTATTTTCACGTAAAATTGTATGGTGAAGGGATTCACAAGTCAATCATACTAAATAAGAAGGAGAATAACATCCGGCCTGCTTTAATTTGATTTTGCTGGGAATTGAATTTGTAAGGAGTTCTTAGCTTCTAAACAATATATCTTCAGTTTTCGTCATTCAAGGTAAAAAAAATAAAATTAATTGACTGGCCTATTACAAATTAATGTGCCAATAAAAAAAAGACGATTGTGAAAATAGTTACTTATTTGGTTAAATCATTTTCGTTTAACTCCCAGTTTGCGTACAATATAACTTTGAGTATGACTATCATATGTCAAAAATGGCGGAGCACTTTTTGACTAGATGCGAAGCACTGTATCTAGGGCTACGTCAATATGGAAATCACTGGAAACTCAAATGACAGATAATATAGGAGAATCAGTCGTTGTTATCTTGTATAATTTACCATGAAACTATCCATTACACATTTTCAGTTCATGAGTAGGGTTTGGCAACTACCAGGAAATCAGTCAAATCTCATGAACCCACCACACACATTTGCGCTCAAAAATTCTCCTTTTTTGATATGCAAGAATGAAATTCAATGACATTGAGGCAAACTCATTTCACTATAGGGCCTTTCTTTGGTAGTCCTTGCTGACCCTCTAAACGACATAGAACGAATGTAGCTTGTACTCTTTATTTTCACTAACAGCTTTTTCTTATCTGACTCCCAAGATGTCAAAGTTGACCTGTAGCCGATCCCTGCTATTGCGATTAAACGTGTCCTACTTTTCCAAGTCTCTGCATATTTTCACCGAAGTTTCTTTTGCGTCTTTTGCCCGACTGTCTTCTTGGCATGACACAGCTTATGCAACCTTCCAAAGATGCGTAGTCATGCGGAATGGCACCACCAGAAATTTTAACAGTTACAGTTAACTATTTTATGTTCGGCTGAAATCAAGGCCTGCAGTGTGAAGAGGTGGGTTTCGAAGTATTCTTTATGGATTCCCTGGGGCATGACATTTTATCTCAAAAACAAAGTTACTTTGAAGGAATGCATGAAGCTGCCTCATCGTAATCCAAAGGAGAAGGAAAGACTGTTTCTGCCCGTCGTGTGGCTGATTCAGGAATAGGATTCAGATGTGTTCATAGCTTGTAAGAGTCAACTATTTTGCCTCCTCGATTTCGACGGAAGAGCTAACCACAGAACACATGACGGTGAGCATAATCCAACAGTCTTCGTTTTACAGTGAGATGGATTTAAGAGTTTGTTTTATACCAAATTTTCCTTCGAATTGAACATTCTAGTCTTAGTAAGCTATCAAGTGCCTCCTAGAAACCCTGCTTTTCTCCGCGTATGTCAGCCTTTCTTCATAATGCTTGCCGCATTGCCGCCTAATCATTCTCACCTACTTTTTATCAAATCCCCTAGGATTTCTGTGATTAGCTTTTCCATCGCAATCAGGGTGCCCAAATAGTTAAGTCCCACCAGCCATGAACACATGCAAATCCTATTCTTAAATTTGCTATGCTTTCTTTCTCTGGGGCTGTTGACCGCACGATGGGCAAAAACAATCTGCAATCCAACAG